GTAGCAGCATCACAGGAGCCTGAAGGCAAGGTCCTTTCTTCCCACATCCTTCCTCCTGCTCCTGGCTCTGCTGACAAAGTAAAGCTAGTTGCATCAGCAGGAGACTGTCGGCTCCACACCAAGGAGCTGGGTCCAGACTTGACTGAGGCGGGGACATTCCTGGAGGAGGAGGGATTCAGCAAAGAATGTACCCAAAGGACCTTGAGGAGAGGTGTGACCTGGGGGCCAGCCACAGTGACTGAGCTGATAGTCCTCTGAGTTGTGTCCTGTGGTTCAGGGAACTAAGATGTGATGGGACTTAGTCCAGATTTGGGTCCCACCGGTGTGGCAGTGTCACCTCACAGCAGGCAGGCCTGCAGTTCCGTCTACCCATCTGCAGGTGCGAAAGGGAAAATCTGACTCCCCTGTTGGAGTGCCCGGATATGTGCAGGTGTAGACCTGTGGATGACTGCAGGTGTGGATGTGTGCTGGTCTCTTTTTGTGGTGTTTGATGTTGCCAACCACATCCTTTGTTTCAGTCTCTGTAACACTCTGGCCTGATAGTAAGGCTTATTAAGCTCGTGGATACCAGACACTGCCAGATGCTATAAACCACACAGCATCTCATGTAATCTTCTCAACTCTGTATGAAATGAATTTTATCATCCCTGTTTTATGCCAGAGGAACTTGAGGCTTAAAGAGATGGCATGAGGTGCCCGGGGTCATAGAGGTAGAGAATTGGAATGTGAACCTTGGCTTTCCAGACTGGGAAGGCTGTGCCATGGTATGCAAGAGGTTGTCTGTGCCTGTATACTCTTCTGAGAAGAGGAGCTATGGAGTTTTTGTTTGTTTTTAAGGCACAGGCTGAGGCTTTTTTGATACCCCATATTTTTATGGCTAGAGAAACAAAGAAATGCTCAAATTGCATCTGGGTCTTACTGCTTCTCCTTCCCTGAAATTCCTGAGGAAGTTCTACAGGAGGACACCGACCAACAGGAAAGAAGAGAAGCAGCACTAGCGTGCTCGGGCAGTGCCCTGTTTACCACAGGGCTCCTTGGGGCTCCTTTCTCCCAAGGGTTGACACTGCTTCAGCCAATACAACCTGTCCAGAGCTGATCCATGCAGACAGGGGCTTCTTCCCAGTTCCACCAAAAGGCTTAGCTGTTTCTCCACCTTCCCATTCCTTCTGGGTTCTGCTGGCCTGTCTTTAACACACACACCTCCCAGAGACACAGAAAAAGGGTAGAAGAGTAACATAGACTTGGCCTTTGCTCACTCATTCTGGTGGGTCAAGAGTAAGTGTTTGCTCTGAGCACGTGTCTTTTGAGCCGGCCATGGAGGACAGAAAGTCTTCCAGAGAAAGAAATGTTGCTGCAGAGGTGGCACACAGGAAGGCGTGGCTGAAGCCAGACAACCCCTAGAGGGGCAGCTGCAGAGGAGGCTTAGCAGGGGCAACTTCTGCTGTGGATGGCGTGCTGCATGGTAACAGGAGCACTGCCCTCCCTGGGCTGGGCCCTGCACTGCAGAGATGAATCCGACGGGAGCACTACCCTGCAGGGCACAGGCACATAGCACACCACCGATGTGCACTCAACCTGAGTAATGTCATTTCATTCTCACAGCAGCCCACAAGGTAAATACTAAGTATTCCTAGTTTATCCATAAGAAACCTACTTATTCTTGGTCCAGGACCTCCACACAGTAAGTGACCAGAGCTAAAGGTGAACCCAAAGAACAGTCTTTTTTGTTTGTTTGTTCTTTGAGACAAGGTCTCACCATGCAGTCCAGGCTGGCCTTGAACTCAGTATGGAACCCAAGCTGGCCTTGAACTCACAGTGCCCCTCCTGCCTCAGCCTCTTGAATGCTGCACCATCAGTGCCCAGCAAGCCCTAGGATCTTAACTGTGTTCCATTGCTTTTTGAAGGATAGCTAGCAGTTCTGCACTGGCTCAGAGAGGGCCAGGAAGGCCATGCGAGAGGTAGGTGTTGGGCAGGGTGAGTCACATGGAGGCAGGAATGTAGTACTAGAGACCAGAAAAAGCAGCAGGAGCATGGAGGCAAGAATTGGTGGCATCTTCAGATGGGCTAAGATTGAACCCAGTGGAATAGGCAGAACTTCCTGTGGGCAGAGATGATGTGTTCTAATTTGTTTTTTGTAAGACCATTCTAGCAGAGTGGATGATAGTTTGGGAGGCAGAGTCAGCCTGTTTGGGACAATGACTCTGAATATTGAATATGCAAATAGATTCAACAGTTGTGTGGCTTTTATGCTTCAGTTATTCCGCTGAGCTCTGAGGTGTTGACCCGTCATTACGATAGTCTAGATGCAAGTATGATGAGGCCTTCACCTGACAGGAGCAGTAGCTTTGGGAGCAAGGCATGAACCAGTATTCTGAGGAGACAAGAACAAAATGACCAGAAGTTCAGTAGGACCAGCGGGAGAGAGAGAGTAGAGGAACTCTGAAGATCCCAGGTTTCTGGTGTGGCAGATGGATGGGCCGAAGGAGAAGAGGACACAGGGACAAACAGATCTGGGGAAACAAGACATTGTTCATGTCCAACAGCAGAAGTAGTTACATGGGTGGGTCATGTATTATTTAACCACACCACTTCTGTAAATTATTGGAGGTTTTTTTTCTGGTTTTTCACTTTTATAAACAACACTGTTATTACAGGTATGATGGCACACACTTCTAATCCTGGCCATCCTGAAGGCTGAGGTAGAGGAGCACAAGTTCAAGGCCAGTTTGGGCAGCTTAATGAGACCCTGTCTCAAAATAAAAATATAAACTCGTTTTTAAAAATACACTTGTACTTGGGGCCAGGGAGATAGCTCAGTAGGATAAGCACTTGCCTGGCAAGCACAAGGGCCTTAGTTCAATCCCTGGTTCCGGAAAAAAAAAAAAAAAAAAATACACTTGTACAGAGGTCTTCACCATTTTTATTACTTTTAGAAGGGAAATGTTGGAGTCATAGTTATAAACAGCTTTGAGGCTTTAGATGGATATTGTCTTGGACAGGATATCCTGTCTACTTCTTGTACTATGGATAGCCACTAAGAAGATAACAATATACAATGTATTAATTATTGAAAATGTCCTATTAATCAGCTTTGAAACTGTCTCATTCATATTTTTTCTCAATAAAACAAAATAAATTTTATCATATGTATAGATTTAAATAAAATTACCACAAACAAGTTAAAAAAAAAATAGATGGATATTGTCTGATGGCTTTTTTTGGGAACGCTATACCGAATTTTACTCCTGGGATTTTTTTTTTTTCCTTGGCGGAACCAGGGATTGAACTGATGTAAAATATGTGTATGATTATAGAAAGGATTTGCTAGGTAGGTTTGGATAAATCCTATGGCTCTCTGCTATCAGAGGTGGAAGAATGCACAAAGGCCACTTGTAAGCTGCAGGACCATAGGATCCAGTCAGAGGTCAGAGGCTTGAGTTCACAGCAGAGTCTGCTGTGAGTGTGTTGCAAGAATGGAGAGTCTACAGTGGGAGCTGATGGAACTCAAAGTGCATGTCCAAAGGCAAGGAGTGGGCAAGACTAGATCTACTCCAGTGAAAGAAAGAGAAAACTTCTTTCACTTTTTATTCTGTCCAGAATACAAGCCTATTGATGGTTCCACCCACATCTTTTTTTTTTCTTTTCTTTGTGTGTGTGTGTGTGTGTGTGTGTGTGTGTGTGTGGCCAGCTCAGCCCACTAGGGGGCGGGGCGGGCTGGCATGTGGTGCTAGGGGATTGAACCGCGGTCCCTGTGCTTTGCGAAGCTTGTTCTAAGTAGGTGCTTTAGACCACTGAGCCATCTCACCAGCCCCTCCACCCACATCTGGGGTCAGTCTTTCCTCTTCAGTTTGCAGCCCACATATCGATCCTCAGACTTACTCAAAGCTTTACTACTCTGCTAGGCAGTTGTTCCTTTCGTTGACAGATCACAGTTAACAAGTACATACACAGGGCTGGGGAGATGGTTCAGTGGTCTAAAGCACCTACTTAGAACAAGCTTAGCAAAGCACAGGGACAGCGATTCAATCCCCCAGCACCACATGCCAGCCAGCCCCACCCCCAGGTGGGCTGCGCTGGCCACACACACACAAAAAAATAAATAAATAAATAAAATAAATTTAGAAAAACAAGTACATACACATATACATATCTTAGTGGGTAAAAAAAAAAAAATACCACCCCATTATTTCAGTGCCACTAAGCTATCTCCCCAACCCATATCTCCCATTTTTAAGTGGTCTGTGGTGACTCTTAATAAAAGATTATAGGGGCCGGGGAGATGGCTCAGTGGAATAAGCGCTTCTCTGGCAAGTGCAAGGGCCTGAGTTCAATCCCCAGTTCCGCCAAAAAAAACAAATAAAAAAGAAAAAGATTATAGTGTTCTTCATATAGGGCCCTCAGATTTCTGAAGTTTATTGCCCAGTGTTGGATATTTTTGTTACGATTATAAATGGGATCTCTTTTTAAAATCTGTTCTTTCCTCCTGATGTGCTAAATAATCTTAACCATTCTAAATTTAGTTGGTTTCTTTTAGGCTTTCTAGGAAAATAACAGAAAGAGAAAAAGATGATAACAAAAACAAGATGAGATCCAAGTTGTTGATTCTTTGTGATATTTCTTGTGCAACCAAGGTTTTGTTTGTAAAATCCTTGTGTATATCAGTATCTTTAAGAGTCCTACCTATTCTGTCTTCCAGAAGATTTAGTATTTGTTTTAATAATATTTGGCCCAGGGCTGGGGAGATAGTTCAATAGAATAAGTGCCTGCCTGGCAAGCGCAGGGTCCTGAGTTCGATCCCTGGTACCACAATAAATAAATAAATAAATAAATAAATAAATAAATAAATAAAATTTGGTACATTTTAATTTTAGTTTAATATAGTGTGAGCGAGCTATATGGATCTAGTTTTAGTCTTCAGCACATGGAAAGCCAGGTTTCCCAGCATCATTTATTAAAAAGGCTGTCTTTCTTCCAGTGAAGGTGTTTAGCTCTTCTGTCAAAGAGAAAGTGGCTGAGTGTGTCTGTAGTTGTTTCTGCACCCTCTGATCTGTTCCACTGGTCCTCAGGTCAGTAACTATTACTGTGGAGCCTGTGGTGATCCTTCCAGCTTGGGGGTTGGCTTTGTGCTGCCTCCTGCAGTACTTAGGAACCCAACTGTAAGAGCAGAGGAAGAAGGGATTGGTGCCACGGTCAGTCTCCATGAGTAGGGCAGTAGAGGTCAAGACACAAGATATCAAATGGGCCCACAAGATAGTAGTGGAAGTATTTACTATAGAGTTTAGATCAGGAAGGGTTGGGGGACTCCAGGTCTCCATGCGAGTGGAGGGTTAGGAGAAGTGGTTATGGCCCTGGAACAGACAGAGGATATCAGGCTTCAGGAGTGATACCTTTCCGGCACAGCATTGAGATCCTTGAGAGAAAAATGTCTCATGTACAGCTATTGAAGCTGATGTCACCCAACTCTTAAGTTAGTACTGTGATTTGAGTGTCATTCTGCTGTTCTATAGAGCTCATGTTTTGTCTTTATTTTTCAGGTTCACTTTAGCACAGTTGACTGAGAGCCAGGAGAGTGAGCAGAAGGGAAAAGAGACAAGCTCTGCAGAGCAGATAGGAGGGCGAGGCCAGGTTCCGGGACAGTGCAGCAGGGAGGCAGGACAGCTGGACCCTTGGGTCTTCCCATTGGCCCACAGACCCCCTCCGACCAGAGCAGCATTTCTGAGAGCACCCCACAGCCTGTGCCCTCCCTGCGGTTCACTGCGTATCCTGTTCTACACCATGGCCCCAACAATGCTCATCTTGTCCTGCCACTTCCCTATGTGTCTTATCACATATCTGTTGTCCACCTACACTTCACTGGTGCCTACTTTGGGTCCCTACCACTCACCCCACCCATCATCAATGTATGCCTGGCTCATGCCCATTTACACTGTGTCCTCAGAGTGCATCGGATGGCTTCTGGAAATCTGTGGCCACTCGAGTCCCCAAGGAGCCCCCCGAAATTCGCATCCTCAACCCATACTTCATCCAGGAAGCTGCCTTCACCCTCATCGGACTGCCTTTCAACAACGGCCTCATGGGCCGGGGGGTGAGACTTGACCTGAGGGCGAGGGAAGGGAGATAACAGGGCTGGAGGTGCCCTGGGAGGGATGGCTGGGTAGCCATGGTCCTCAGAGGGAGTACTCCGAGAGAAAGGTCCTCCTTGGGAATGGAGTGTTACCTGCTCTGCAGAGTTCTGACCCTCATGCTTCCTCTGTGCTGTCCTCCAGAATATCCCGACCCTTGGCAGTGTGGCAGTGACCATGGCCCTGCATGGCTGTGATGAGGTGGCAGTTGCAGGCTTCGGCTACGACATGAGCACGCCCAACGCACCCCTGCACTACTATGAGACTGTACGCATGGCAGCCATCAAGGAGGTTCGAGTGGATGTGGGGACAGAACCTGGGCAGAGCCGAGGGAGGGGGCTTCCAGCACAAGCGGAGGCTTGAACTGCACATGTCCAGTGAGTGGCTGAGGGCCAGCTCCCCAGAGAGCCTACCCACTCTCAGCTAAGCAGAGCCCTGAAGGTCCATGTGCACCCAGGATGACTGCCAATGTCACGCCTGCCCCTCTCATGCCTGCCCCTCTCCCAGCCACTCTCTGAACCCAGTACCCTCTCCTCACCCTTTTCTCTCCATGGGGCCCTCCCTGCTCTCATTATGCAGCTTTCCCCACCCCCACCTCTCCTTACTCCACCCCCACCCGCATCCATACACCAGTCTTGACACCATGTCAGATCACCTTTGCAGTTCCTGCCTTCCCCTTTGTGGCCCTCACACCATCCACATCTCCTGTACCACCTCTACTTTTCCCTGAGCACACAAGGGCTCTTTGTCACCCAGAATTGTTCCCAGGTGGCCCTGTGTACAAGGAGCTCCCCAGACTGTGGCTCAGCCTCTCCTGGCGTCTCTACCTGCACTGCAATGATCTCAAGTGCAAAATCTGAACTCTCTTCGCATCCCTTAGCTGCTACTACCAGCCTCCCATGGACCCAGCCTGAGACTTGGAAATCAAGTCCCAGGCAACTTCCCTGCCCCTGTGTCTGGGTGACTGTGTGCTTTGGAAAAACCTCTTGTCTGTTCAGATTCATACTGCTGAGTTTGCAGAATCACCCCCACTTCCGGTGACAAAGAACACTGAATACTGAAGCTGCACAGGGGACGGCAGGCTCCAACCAGAGCACCTCTTAACACTCCCACTCACTCAGCCCTTTACACACACACACACACCCCACACACACACACCCTGACACAGCTTCCCTGAGGAGGCCAGTGCCCTACGTCAAGGCTGGTCAGTGCAATGGCCACATCTCATCTTTCATGATCTCCCAGAAATGCTTGCTGGGTGGGCCATTCCTTCCTGATTAGATTTCTTTTTTTCAATTTTTTTTATCTATTTGGTACAGGGTCTTGCTATGCAGCTTGGACTCATAGTGATCCTCCTGTTTTAGCCTCCCCAATGCTGGGATTACAGGCATGCACCACTATGCCCAGTTTCCCTTCCTAGATTCTGAGTCATTAATTTCCTGTCTTTTCCTCACCCATCTCATTCTGTCTCATGTCATTGCTTTTGGTCTACTCTGCAGGAACCAAGATGAGCTAACAGCACTCTATCCCAGGTTATCCTGTCTGCATATACTCCACATGTACATCCCTTTCTTCAGTTATCTACTATGTTCTATTAGACTTTTTTGTTTAGTTTTTTTTGGCTTTGGGCTTTTTTGTATTTTGAGACAGGGTCTCACTATGTAACTTAGGCTGGCCTTGAACTCACTTTGTCATCCAGGCTGGCCTCAAACTTATGACAATCTTCCTGCTTCAGCCTTCTGAATTCTGGAGTCACAGGTGTGCTCCACCATGCCCAGTGCTCTTTTGGTTCTTGATCTAACAGAATACTCTACTCTCTGACTTGAAGAAAATTTATCTCACAGTCCTGGAGGCTGGAAAGTGAAAACCAAGGTACCAGCAGTGTCCAGTCTGGTGAGGACCCACTTCCTGGGCCACTGTGTCATCACCAGATAAATGGGGTGCAGGCATTCTCCTGAGTGTCCTAGAAGGTCACTAATCCCATGAGAAACGACTGTTGAAGGTAGATGCTAAGAGATGGTTGTTGGCTGTGATGAGAACAGCTCCACAGCCTAGGCAGTGGGAGCCAGGTGCATCAAGCAAGAGTGACTAAAGGCCTGCAGAGGCTGCAGGAGTGGCCTACAGGAAAGAGGAGAGGACAGGGGCAAGGCAGCGTGGTAACTGGAGCGTAAAGCAGCCCGTATAGGGTCTGTCACACCTCTGTGAAATCTGCGCTGGAAATAAGAGACTGAGCTGCAAGCTCAGCCACCTTGCTGCAAGCTCAGCCACCTTGCTGCAGCTTCCCAGGAAAGGATGTAGGAAACATGGTCAGCACAGAATACCAGCACAACAATAGTCCATGGCTGGGCACAGGAAGAGGGACCAGATGAGGCTCAAAGGGGCCAGGCATGATAGTGTATGCCTGTAATCTGAGCACTTGGGAGGCTGAATGGGAAGAGCATGAATTTGAGTCCAACCTAGGCTACATAGTGAGACCTTGTCTCAAAAAAGTGAGTCCCAGGGCTGGCAAGATAGCTCAGCAGACTAAGCACCTGCTTGGGCAAGTGCAGGGACTGGGATTTGATCCCCAGCACCATATGCCACGCCAACTGCACCTCCAGGGTACGCTGAGCTGGCCAATGAGACTGGGCATGGTGGCCAATGCCTGTAATCCCAGCACTGAGGAAACTGAAAACAGGAAGATCCCTAGGAATCCAAGCTGTGAAGTGAGACCCAGTGCCAAATATATTTTTTTTTAAAAGGCCCTATCACACACTAAAAAAGAGGGCACCCTGCTGAGAGTGTGGACTGGTGGAAGGGCATCTGTGTCCAGAGTCCTGCACCAGCCCACAGTACTGCAGAAGCTCCACGGGGCTCCTGAGTAATCTGCAAAGAAGAGAAATGAAGATGAGTACCCAAGAGTGGTGTCACCTGGAGAACAGACTGATGTCACCCTGGAGCAGACTTTTCTGCCTACTTTTTCATTATGAAAGGAAACTGTCCAATACTTTGTAAGTGAAGAGAGCAGTCTCCTGCACTTATGTCCCAGCTGTCAACACATGGCCAGGATCATGTCACATCTTCTTCCTGTCATACTCCCAGGCCTACTGATTGCTTGCAAGCAGGTCTCAGATATCTTATCATTCCAGCCATAAATGCTTCAGTTTTTCTAAAGGATAAGTACTATTTTTGCTACTATACATCTTAAAATTAACAATAATTCCTTAGCATCATCAAATAGTCCTCTGCTAACCTGTTAGCCCTCAGTGACTCCTAGTGGGTACTCTTGAAACTGACCCATGAAACTTCCCACAAGAGGAGATGTGGCAAAGTGAAGGGCTGTATTGGTGTCTACAGGTGCTCAGATCCTGGTCTTGCCATTCCTGAGTCTGCTTCCTGCCTGTGAGGTCTAATTTCATTCCACAAATATTTAGCACCTACTCCATATCTAGTAGTCCCTGCCCTCAAACAGAGATAGCCAAATGCCTAAATCTTCAAAGAACAGGATGCGTCCCCCAGGGATCTTTAGCACTTTATAACCAGCGGTGCCATGACATCACCAGGAGCACTTCGGGTTTTAGGGAGTGTGGAAGGACAGCCAGGTAGAAATAGGACAAAGACTAAGAAAACCACACACCTTAGGCAACCCAGAGAAAGGGAAGAAACTGGCACCACCCAAGAGACAGTCAGGGGTACTGTCCTTTGGGGAAGCCACATGGTTCAGATGAGGTTGGAGGGACGTTCAGAGCAGAAGAATGTAGGGAATTCTGTTCATGATGGCATGAACTTCACAGTGAAAGGTTTGCAAGATTGGAGAGGTTGGGCTGGTGAGATGGCTCAGTGGTCTAAAGCACCTACTTAGAACAAGCTTAGCAAAGCACAGGGACCGTGGTTCAATCCTCCAGCACCACATGCCAGCCAGCCCCGCCCCCTGGTGGGCTGAGCTGGCCACACACACACACACACACATAAATAAATAAATAAATAAAACTTAAAAAAAAAAAAAGATTGGAGAGGTTGCCAAGGACAAAATAAGGCCTGGGTTCTTCACACCAGGACACAGTGGCTAAGAGTGGGTGCAGTGAGGCACTGGGCCAGTAAGGGCAGCAAATAGGCTGGCTGGTAGAGGAATGATAAGACTGTTGACCTTTCTTACCTCTTTCGTTCCTCCTTCTGTCTCTGCCTCCCTGCCTTTCTTCTTCCATCCATTGGTCAAGTCTTTTTGCTATCTGAGAGACTTAATCATCCAAGGTTCCTGATGAGCACACACAAGATGGGAAAGAACCCTGTCCCAGAAGTTCTGGAAGGCATTGTCTTCCCTGTAATTTCCACATAGTGTTTTCTAGCAAATTTTAAATATACAATGCATTTTTATTATAGTTGAGACAAGAGGATTGTTGAGTTTGAGGCCAGGCTGTTGTTCTATATAACAAAAACAAACAAACAAAAAAACCCACATGTAGTCAAATGTTCTCACCATAAGAAATAAGGATGTGGGCCGGGGAGATAGCTCAATAGAACAAGTACTTGCCTGGCAAGCACAATGGCCTGAGTTCAATCCCCGGTTCCACAAAAAAAAAAAAGAAAGAAAAGAAATAAGGATGTAAGGTGATAGACATGTTAATTAACTTGATTTAATCATCTGTAATGTATACATGTATAAAACATCACATTGTACACATAAATATATACAATTATTTGTTAAAGATAAACATTTAAGCTGAAGGACCGGTCAAATAGCTCAGTGGATTAAAGTGCCTGCAAGCAGGCACAGGGGCCCAGGATTCAATCCCCCAAATTGCGCCTAGACAATTGAGATTGGGCGTGGTGGCATGTGCCTGTAATCCCAGCACTTGGGAGGCTGTAACAAGAGAATCACTACGAGTCCGATCTAGTAGTGAGACCCTGAAAACCTTGTAGGCCCTTCCCTAAAATACAGAAATAAATAAATAAATAAATTTAAGCTGGGTGTGGTTACATACATCTATAATCCCAGCATTTGGGACACTGAGGCAGAAGGATTGCTGCAAATTTGCTCAAGGCTAGCCTGGGCTACATAGCAAAATCCTGTCCCAGAAATCAGTAGGAACAGTGAAAAAGATTAGGCCCTGCTCCTCAGGCTCCCTGGCTCCTGTGATCTGGGAGACCAAATTTCATCAGCTACCCCAGGCCTAAAGAGTGGATTGCATCAGGCCAGAGAATGACTCTGCACCCCTTGCTGTGGGACTCAGTGACTCACTTGGCTGACTTCAGGGTATCTGGATCCTGGATGCTTCCAGCCATGGGTTGGGCTCTGAGGAAACAGCCCTTCCTCCAGTACCTAGGCTCACAGCACTCAGGACAAAGAAGTCAGGGGCACGGTGCTGAAGGAATGCGTATCGAGTGAGAGGGTAGTTCCGTCTTGGTCTTGAAAAGGCGAGATGAGCTATGGCAGTGGTGCTGAGGCAGGCACATAGTCACCCCCGCATCTGAGCATGGAATATTCAGTATTAATTGCAGTGTTGGCATTTTGTGATAAATAAGTGAGGTTTGAGTTGCAGTTTGGGCGCTTGGTCTATAAAGGTTTGCTAAGCAGGATCATCACAGTCTTGTAGGCACAATAGATGACGGGTATCTGCCTTCAGATGTCCACAATCACAGAGCACCCAGAGGCCAGAAGAGGGTACCAGCCTGGGTTTGCACAGGGCTGTATCTCAGCAGCCACCTGGGCTGCCCGCCTCACCACTTCATCTCTTTCCTTCCAGTCCTGGACACACAACATCCAGCGAGAGAAAGAGTTTCTGCGGAAGCTGGTGAAGGCACGTGTTATCACTGACCTAAGCAGTGGCATCTGAGTGGGCCTAGCACTCAGCCACAGAGGCCCAGGCACCACCAGAGCAAGCAATGGTCACCTGCACAGGAGTCTTCAGACCCAGAGAAAGACAGTGCCAAGGGACCCCAGAGGCAGCAAGGCCTTGGCAGGGCATCCAGAGCAGTACCTGCACTGAGGCCAGCCTCAGAGACCAGCACGCAGCCTCTCTCCGCCTGGGTTCATGAAGCCAGAGGGCCAGGGAGCCACAGGCTGTGCCCAGCAGGCCCAGCATGCAGGAGGTGGGACATTAGGCAGCGAGGATGCTGCCAGAATCATTTCTCCAATCAGTGTTTAGTGTATTATCATTTTGTGAAATTGGGTGGGAGGAAGGGAGGGATAATTTATTTTTAAATAAGGTTGGAGATGTCCGTTAGTCCACTTGCCATGCAGAAAGAGGCCCACTAGAGGGCCCATTAGGCCGCAATAGCAGCGGTGCCAGTAAGCTCCCTGGAGAATGGGAGTTTCACGCCAAGCCTGTGCCCTACTCTGTCGCTACAGAGAGGTGGCAGTATCTCATTACAGCCCCCTTCAACTCATGACACTCTTTGGCCGTTTGGGGGAGAAAATGGGATATTTCTATTCACCAGCCCCCAGCCTTCCTGTCTGGAAGCCCTGGGGCCATCTCTTCGAAGCCAACCAGACCCCCTGGGCTAGAGCAGAGTACTTTGAAGAAGGAGAGGCCTGGCCCAGCCTGACAGAAAGAGCTGCCTTTCCAGCTGCACCTGACCTACAGGACAGTTTCCCGCTTGGACTCCTGTCAGATGTTCTGCTTTCTGTAATGGACCTGCCAGGGCCTTGAGTTTTGCCTTTAGTCCGAATCAGAGGAAGGAGGCCCTAGGGCCTTGTGCAGGCTGTGGCAGGCAACCCTGTGGAAGCAATAAAGCCCTCCCCTAACCTGACCTCGTTTTGTTTTCACTGACTTTCCTGGAAGGAACAGGAGCCCAGAGCTTCAGCAACTATGCCAAGCCCAAGAATCTCTCCAGCCCATTGCATCCCTTTCATTTCTTCAGAGGTCTCTAGTATTTCCCCTGGCCCCCATAGCCCAATATCCTCTGCCCTAAAAGAAATAGACATGCAATAGCACCTAGCAAGGCCCCAGACTTTCCACCCTGCCATGTTCTCCAGCAGCATACAACTCAGTTCTAGGTGTCTCCTGAGGAGCTTCAGAAAAGGCATTCCCGTTCCACCTCAGGCCCTTAGAACTTTAGAATCAGATCCTTCTCTTGCTTTGCACCCCAGCTGACTTGAGAATAAGCAGACGCACACCTGCATCTGAGTCCATAAAGGGAGCTTGCTGCCAGACATTCACTGTGCTATAAATGGGATGGCTGGCCACTCCACCATGTTTTTGTTGTTGTTGTTGTTGTTGTTGGGGTTTTTTTTTGGGGGGGGGGTTGTCTTTTTGAGACAGACTTGGATCTCACAATGCAGTTCAGGTTGGCCTTAAGCTCACTTTGTAGCCCAGGATGGCCTGGAACTCACTACCATCTTCTGCCTTAATCCTAGAATGCAGGCAGCCCTGAGCCTTCCTACTGGTGAGACCCCTGGGGACAAAATCCTGGCCATCCAAGGAATACAACTTCCCACATGCCTCCCTTGCTGCTGTCAGTTGACCTTGGGCAGAAGCCTCCTCTACTGAGAGGAAGCAAGGCCCTGACTGAGGGACAGGGAAGTCCATAAACATCCTTGCACTCTGCTGCTAATAGAGCTCCTAATAATGTGCCACTCCGGTGCCTGCTAGGTACCCCCTGGAGTGTGCAGGGCCTCCAGGCCATGCCTGTAAGTGGTGGCTGTGGCTGGAACAGTACAAGGAAAGCTGCCCCATCTGGGCAGCAGAGCACAAACTCCGTGGCTTAGCCTCCTGCCTCAGGGAGGCCTGTGGAGCTTGCAGACAGCCCCCCCCCCCCGCAGCAGCAGCAGCAGTCTGACTTCAGTGCACAGCGCTGCATGAAACTCCCTCACAAAAAATGATTCTGAGCCCTGGCTGTATGCCAGGATCACCCGTGCAATCTGGAAAACTGCACCTGCATAGCCTGAGATTGATTCAGATCTGGGGTGGGGCCGGATGTAGGTAGTTCTTAAAGGTCCACAGTGACTGCTGCACAGCTTGGGTACAGCTGGTCCGGACATGTTCCCTGAGTCCTCATCCCCACCCACAGCCTCCATTGTGTGTCACTTGGTCAGCAGTGATTCCAAGATTGCTGTCACCAGCCCAGTTCTCTTCATCTCGCTCCAGGCTACAAATTCAGCTGCTTCCTGAGTTCTACTTAGGAAAATCCACAGGCCTTTCCACCTCGGTGTATCCAGTACCATACTCACAAGCCCTGCCCCTGCCCCAGGGAGCACTGCTTCCCCTCTACCTGGCCACTCCAAGCCTCAGCCAAGGGCACACCCTACCTGCACCCACCTGAACAGGCACCAAGGTTTCCTAGGTAGCGGTAGGGCCTGTGGCCCCTAGCTCCCCACAGCTTTGCCCAAGACTCATTTCTTCTCCCCAGCAGCCTTCTCTGAGGAGAGAGTTCAGGTGACAGGTGTCTTGCCTGTCCCCAATCCACAGCAGCTAGTCATCCTGAAAAATACATTTTTCTTTTTTCTTTCTTTTTTTTTTTTTTTTTTTTTTTTTTTTTTTTTTTTTTTTTTTGTGGAAACGCTTATTCTACTGAGCCATTCCTCCCCCTGCACCCCCAAAATATGTTTCTGACCACACCTTTCTGCTCAGAACTCTTCAGTGGTCCTGGCATCTTTGGGGTAAAAGCCAGGCGCTTTGGTGTGAAGTTTCTGGCCCAAATTGCCATAATTAGGCAACTGCGTTGCCACATTTCCCTATTTAAAGCCCCGACCTCTCCCTACTCTGACCTCCCCTTCTTCAGCTGACATACCCACCTCCCGCGCACTGCCTTGGCAGTGCCAGGGACCAACGTGTTGCCGTCCAAGCAGTTCCGAGGTGAGTAGGTGAGCGGTGGGATGAGTGCTGCCCTGAGGTGGATGAGCAATCTGTTGAGAGATAAATAAACTAACTGGAGGCCCCGCCAGCCTGTACCCCCTGCTCTGTATGCCGTGGCCAAGGCCAGGACCCGCCTGTCCCTCCCAGCGGCTCGCTCCCTCCGCCCTCGGCAGGCCTCCAGCTCCCCACTTCGCGCTTCTACAAAGTCCAAACTCCCAGTCTCCGTGCCTCTCTGCCGCCTGCCTTCTTCACTCCTCCTCCGGGGGGTCCTCTACCAGCGTCTGCCCTCGGCCTTGGGGGACACAACCAAGCCAGTAGGGACCTAATCCGAGGGGAGAGCAGCCAGGTGAGCCCAGAAAGGTGGGGCGGGGCGGGGGCGCTCTGGGCCCCACCCCGGGATCCGGTGACGCCGGGGCTGGAATTTGACACCGGACGGCGGGCAGCAGGCTGCTGAGGGATGGAGTGGGGCTCGGCCCCCAGACACGGCCCGCGGGCTCTGCCAGCAGCAAGTCCCTCAGGCCCCAGTCCTTGCTTCGACGGGAGCTCAGAGGCCCGCATCCGAGGTAAGCCCGCCGCCTGTCCATCCCTGGTCCCAGCCCTGGACGCACGCTCTCACGGCTTCAGGCAGAGGCAGGGCGGTCTTCACCCGTCCTCCCTTTCCCCGGCCCTCAGGGCAGCTCTCTGCCCCTCCCAGACGCTCCCTTCCCTCTTGTTTGTTGGAGTGTGAGAGTCCTGCTGGCCTAAAGTAATGCGAGGCTCCCGCTGCCGCTACAGGGCACAGGCTGGCTGCCGAGGCCGCACTTTTGGCTAAAGGAGGCGCTGCCAGGTGCACAGCCCTGGGCATGACTTGTGGGGGAAAGCCCAGCACTGGTCCCAGGAAGGGTGCCTAGAAGAACACAGTGCGGGATCCCAGTGGTGAGTAAAGGCCTGGTGGATCAGGGCAGCAAGGGCTGCAAGGAAGGAGCAACACTGCCTGAGCTGCCCTCAAAGGACCTGCTCCTGGGCTCCCTCTAGTGCGGAGGCCTCCACAGCTGCCTTGCCTGTCTGGCTTTCCCTCCATCTGTAGAACAGTCAGGGGGCTGGCCTTTAACTGTGCGGACACTCTGTGCTAGGCAGAGGGGGTTAGGATGACAGCTGGGATCCAAGAAAAGGCTGGCTATGAGGGTTTGAGAAGATTCTGGGGCCCCAGCCGGGTGTTCAGGAGCGTGCCTGGTGGAGGGTGGGGGTTCACAAAGGCAGGTGCCACTTGTGCCGGCTCGCGGGGAATGAGGAAGGTGACTCTAAAAGCAAAGCAGGAGGCAGACCTGGGCCAGCGCTCAGTGCCCAGAGTGGTGTGGGGATTGGCTGGCCCTCTGGGAGGGACTCAGACTGAGTGCAGTTGTGAGAAAGCCCACCTTCCGCCCCTTTTGAGTCTGCAGGCTTGACAGACTCTGCCCCCTGGTGGGCAGACCTGTTATTTTCAGAAGTCCCATCAGCCCCCACAATCTGCTGTCTCCTGGGGGACATCTGTGGTCAGAAGAGAAAATCAGGAGGCTTTGGGGTCCAGAGCAGAGATTACAGAGGAGCAAAGTGTGGTGGCAGCACTGAGTGGGCAACACAGGCTGTGGCCTGGGCCTCACGGTCAGCTAACTCAGAGTGAGCAGCAGACACAAATTCTTCTCTAGCCTTCACCTTCCTCCCTTATAGCTTGGGGTAAAGGCTATCTGTGTGGCTGTAGCCTGTCAGTCTCTTAGACAGTCAATCTCTGAGCTGCTCTGTGCCTCGTTTGCTCATCTGGAAAAAGGAGATTGAGCCATTTAATTCATAGAGCTGTGAAAAAGAGAAGTAGCTGCACAACATCTAACACATAGTAAAATACTCAGTGCAGCTACTTCTCTTTCATTGAGTCACGATACTGATACCCAAGCCCCTTGTGGTGTGGAGAAACTTAGGTGAAAAGACCTCCCCAAAAGATAATTCATCTTTCAGTTTGGAAGCTGCTTCAACAGGAGGGTGGGGGAACAGGTCCACAGAGGCTGATGGGAGCTCCTGGTGTTGTTAGAGATGGAACTTGGATTTGGAGGCCCTACTGTGCTGCTCCACTGCCACTGGCCTAGGCAGCAGGTGAGTGATTGCCCCAGACTCCCTACTGTACCTGAAGAAGGGGACTCAAGCTGTGGGAAGAGCAGAACTTGGCCTGGGTAGGGATCAGCTTTAGGAGGGAAAATGGTCAAAGAGGGAGGAATCAGGAACATGGCAGAAGGACCAAGACTTCTGTTGATGGTCAGTGCCCTTAAGCGATTCCTCCCCTAGGCTCCCCAAAGTTAAAGCAAATCTTTAACCTAAGGCCTTCCTGACACACACACACCCGCTCCCCAACTGGGCGCCCAGCTCTCTCTGCTCTCAGCCAAGAACAGGCCGGCCCTGAGCTCCACCCCTGAAGGGCAGCCGGTGAGGGCGCCCTCTTCCTGTCTGAATTCCCACTTGTCTCTCTGCGCAGCCAGCCTTGTGGCCTACACTGGCTGTTCTGGCCCTGCTCATCAGTGTCACAGAGTCCTCACTGGGCCCTGAGCCCCGCAATCCCGTCACTCACCAAGGCCCCGCAGCAATGCTGACGTCCCATACCGACCACCTGCCAGGTAGGTGAGAGATGGAGGGGCGGGACAGGGTCCAGGCTGCCTGAGACAGCACATGTGACCTTCTCTCATTTCAGGTGGACGCCTCGTCCATCTGTGTGGCAAAAGAACCCGCCCACCACCTCTGCACCCTCCCCAGCCTGCGCCCCTTCCGTCGTCCCCGCCCCTGCCTACTTCGCCCCGCGGAGGCCGCACTGCTCGAGCAGGGGCCCGAGGCAGTCGCGCAGGGGCCGCAGGGTCGCGGGGCTGCCGCCTGCGCTCGCAGCTGGTGCCGGTGCGCGCACTGGGCCTGGGCCACAGCTCAGAAGAGCTGGTGCGTTTCCGCTTCTGCAGCGGTTCCTGTCGTCGTGCGCGCTCCCCACACGACCTCAGCCTGGCCAGCTTGCTAGGCGCCCGAGCCCTTCGGCCGCCTCCAGGTTCCCGGCCAGTCACCCAGCCCTGCTGCCGGCCCACTCACTACGAAGCCGTCACCTTCATGGACGTCAACAGCACCTGGAGGACTGTGGACCGCCTTTCAGCAACTGCCTGTGGTTGCCTAGGCTGAAAGCTCTCTCCAAGAGATTGTAGACTGGGCTCCTGAGCATGCATCTTCCTGTCTGCGAGCCTCCTGCAGGGTCCTGCTGGCTGGGAGGCCTCAGTCAGCCATGAAAGCCTCAGAGCTGAGGTCCCAGCACAGTGGGTGATGGTCATGATCCTGGAGAGGTGGAAGGACTACTGGACACGCCAGCAGCTTCCAGGTGCTCATCCTGGGGCCCCAACACTATAACGTCAGAGACCTCAGCTCCGAGACCTTAATGCCCACCTCTCACAGATTCTGGGACTGGCCAGGCCTGGGGAGACGCCTCTAGAGAATACAGCAGTGGCCCAGGCCCTGGGTGGGTGGAATTGGAGGACACATACTGTAGCTGTGGTGGAAAGTGCCTGTACTGGAGATGGCCTTATCCTCACTGATGGAGCTGGATGCATATTTATTATTTCTAAGTTATTTATTTACTTCAGTGGTTTGTTGGATTGTTTCATGGGCTTGGCTGGAGATGCACGTGCTCTACATACTCACACACTTCACACTGACTCAACAGTCCTAGGCTGGCCTGCATCTCCCACTGCATCCCCCCCGCAGCTCCAGGATGGGAGATGTGGAACCCGAGGCAGAATGGGCAGCAAACTGCATTCACACCTTCTCACAGCCCCTGAGAGTGGACCCTGGGTTACCTTTTGGGGTAGGGGTAGACCTGAAGACTTCTATGCAGAAAGTCTTATCCTGTGACTACTTGCAAGCACCCATGACAATGAGACCCCTCCTTGGTAGGTCAATGACAGAAAACCATGTTATGTCACTCCACTATTGTTGATCAGTGTCCTGCTGCCCAGAGAACTAAATTGAAGCCACTGTGATGGGTATACATACTCCTCCACCTGCAGATGGTCCAGCACAGGGAGCTCACTACCTCCATTCCATGAGGCAACCTAGGGTAAGAGAGCATCTGAAAAAAAGGCTGAAAGGGAAAAAAGGATGCACTGAAATGCTGGTTTGGGAGAATAAAGCACAGAATGTCATGGTGCTTCAAAGGCAGGAAAGACCTAGAAATTCAGAAGGTTCTGCATTTAGGGCGGTGAATAAGGAAATTCACTTATTCATCCAACAAAGCTTATTTATTATTAATTAATTATGTCAGCTACTGAATAGACACTAAAGATATGGAAGTGAGAGATATAACCCCTGCCCTTAAGAAACTTAAATCAAGAGAGACAGACAATAAATAAGTAATTACATATATAATTATTTCACTTCCATTCAGCAGATGCTATTTAAAAAATAAAAATAAAAACAGGAAGCACCAAGCAGGGTAGCACCTGTAATCACAGCATGCTGAGAAGCTAAGGCAGGAATATTCTAGGTTCAAGCACAGTCTGGGCAACTTACTGACTTAGATACTCTCACAAAATTAAAATAAAATAAAATGGGATGGGAAAGCTGGGGATATAGCTCAGTGGCACAGTGCCTGCCTGGCAAGTGCAAGGTCCTGAGTTCAATTCCCCATACAACAAAAAAAAAGAGAAAATGAAAATAAAAAGGGGTGGAAACGTAGCTCAGAGCAAAGGTCTAGGGTTCAATCCCCAATAATGCATGTGTGTGTATATGCAATGTACACACAGAAGATAAGCAGTACATACTTTAATCAGGTGGCCACTCATATTGTCCCTAAGTCATCTCCAAAAGATCAGTGCAATCTCCTGAGTTTTTTTTACATTTCCTTTGAAATCACATTTCCCAGGCCCTAGGCATTTGTAATGAGGAGATCTGTGTGATTTTCCTTCTTTTGTAGTAAGACAGGGGTGTGTGTTTGCAGAGGGCACTACATCTAAGGGACTGCAGGACATCCAGAGGGATTGTCAGGAGCTAGTTGACTATGTCGGTCTGGAGCTGAGGAGCCTGGGTCAAACAGATTTGAGAGGCCTCCATGCAGAAGCTGCAGCCTAACCTAGGAGAGAGTCAGGGTTGGTAGTGGGATGCAAGGCATCTGACACTTTTGACAGCAACTCTCCTGTGTGCCACCTGCTTTGGTGAGTGGTCTTCATCCAGACTACTGGGAAGAGCTACAAGAGCTCTGAGAGCTGGGCCCAGTCTGGGTCAAGGATATGAACTGTGCCTGTGAGCCCCTCTTCTGCATTCATTCACACAGTTCTAGGTGCCCCCAAAACTTTGGTCCTGTTTTGTCCTCAATCAGTCCCTTCACGCCTTTCTCAGCCTCCAGATTAATTGAGGCTCCTCAGTTTCCACATAATAACCCATAGGAAATGGCATCAGTATCAAACAGTTTGCAGTTGGTGGGGCACAGTGGGAACATTTTGTCACTTCTGGGAATATTTGGGATAAGCAGCACCCTGCTGGGAAAATCGAAGCCTAGCCTTGTCCTCAAAACTTTAAGGTCCTCAAATCTTCCAGACCTTGCCACTGCTGCTCTCAGAGTTGCTTAGAGGAGAAGGAAGGCATCTCTGAGGGTGCTCACTGTGAGAGGGCCAGATTGGAGCCCAGCCAAACGCTGATTATCAGCCCTCCCCAAATTACTAGTCCTTCAGGAGTTTTATTCAGGCCCCCGAGAACTTGTCCAAATAACTTACAAAATTTAGGAAGAAACTACAACTCCTCCAGAAAGAACACATTTCCACAAGACGTCGCCCCAGTTTGGAGATCAAAACAATCCAAATCTCTCTCATAAAGAAAACAAACAAACAAAACTTTTCCCCAAAGGAAACAGACTAAGAACTGCATCTGTTTACAATTTTGCCTAGGCAACCTGTCACATGACCAGCCCAGGCAACACACTAGAGCTCCTAGAGCAGAGGGGACCTCTGGTACTTTCATTTCTGGCTCTGGTCTTGGGTGTACTTTTGCAAAACCACACTGCCCCTTGAGTACCATTCCCAGAACTAGGGAATGTCTCCAAAGGAGTATCAAGTCATAGCCTTTTACAAGGCAGAAAATTATAGGTAGCTTTGAAATGACAATCCTTCCAGGTCTGGGGGATACCTCAGACTCCCCTCTAGGTTCATTTTTATGGAGGATATGTGGCTCTAGTTTCCATATATCCCCCCAACCACAGCTATCTGCTTTATCAGAAACTCTTTTTTTTTTGGTGGAACCGGGGATTGAACTCAGAACTTTGCACTTGCTAGGGAAGTGCTTATTCCACTGAGCCATCTCCCCGGCCCTTTTACTAGAAACTCTTGGCTGTGACTTTCCACTTTTCTTATCCAGAGATTTCTATCTTTTCTTTGGCCAGAGGTCTCATATGCAATATATGTGGACTAGCTAGCTGAGATCTCATCTTTTTTTAAAAATTTTATTTATTTATTCATTTAGTGTGTGTGTGTGTGTGTGTGTGTGTGTGTGTGTGGCCAGCTCAGCCCACCAGGGGGCGGGGCTGGCTGGCATGTGGTGCTGGGGGATTGAACCGCGGTTCCTGTGCTTTGCCAAGCTTGTTCCAAGTAGGTGCTTTAGACCACTGAGCCATCTCTCCAGCCCCTGAGATCTCATCTTGAAGAGAGAGGTTGGGGAAGAAGTTGAGTGAACAGAGAAAAGATTCAGGAGGATTTGTGTCATGTGATCATGTCTTTGTTGTTCATGGGAGTAGGACTCAATCTACCTTGGACTTGTGGAGTCCTTTGAGAATATATGAAAGCTACAGACCAAATCAAATGAAGCTTCCCCTAACTAAATATCAGAAAGATGTCTAAATCTGGTAAACAATTGTGGGGGCACAGAATTCTTAAACTCATTCAGAGGCTCTTTGAAGTCAATGGAACCACACTGTGCTACCCTTTTCTTTTCTTTTTAATATTTATTTTTATTTAGTGTGTGTGTGTGTGTGTGTGTGTGTGTGTGTGTGTGTGGCCAGCTCAGCCCACCAGGGGGCGGGGCTGGCTAGCATGTGGTGCTGGGGGATTGAACTGGGTCCCTGTGCTTTGCTTAGCTTAGTTTGTTCTAAGTAGGTGCTTTAGACCACTGAGCCATCTCACCAGCCCTGTGCTACCCTTTTCTAGGTGCTATGATCAATATCCTACTGTGGCTGGACTGGTTCCTCCAGCTGTGCTCAAGCTCCAGTGTCAGGGCTTTCTGTCTCAATTATTTACACTTCCTATTCGTCAACATTTTTTTATCTCATATTTCCTTCCCAGCTGTATTTCTACTGGCTCTAACATATGACATCATTAAAAAATTGATGCTGCAATTAGAGACAGACAGACAGAAAGACAAACCTGCTTCACTTTTACTTCTTCACTATGAGTGCTTGGGCTGGGGTCACCAGGACATTATCATTGCTAAATTTAAAGGCGAATTTTCAGCCCTTAGTTCTTTAAATTCCCAGAAACACTTGATTTTGTCAACCTTCCTTGAGAATCTATCTTCCCATGACTCTTTTGACAACTTTTGGGTTCCTCTTCCTTTCCCTGCCTCTTTTTTGTGGAGAGGGGTAGTAGAGATTGATCCCAAGGCCTTCACTCTGAGCTACATCCCCAGCCACTTTGAAAACTTTTTTGAGACAGGAGCTTGCTAAGTCAATATATTGCCTGGGTTGGTCTCAAATTTATGATTCTCCTGCCTCAACATCCCAAACTACTGGGATTACAGGTGTGTGCCCCTACATCTTACTCTCTTTGCCTCTTAGTATTGCTCCATAGGGATCTAAAAATCAGCGTTTTCCTCTCCTCTCTTCTCCCTTCTCTTCTTCTTCCTCCCCTCCTCTTTTTCCTCTCCCCCTCCCTCCCTCTCTCCCTCTTTGTCTCTCTCCCCTTCCTCCCTTCCTCTCTCTCCCTCTCCCTTCCCCCCTCTCTGCAGCATTACCACCTCCCATGGTTTTAGTTACCACCTCCATGCTAACTCACTCATTTTATCTCCATCCTAGGCCTTTCTCCTGAGCCTGTCGAATTTCAATATGCCTACCCACATGTCCTTGGAAACTTCAAGTTTCACATATCTGTCTGATGTTTTCAGTTTACTCCTTGAAATCCACTTCCCACCCTTCTCCACCCTGCTCTGTGTCCCACATCCATAAGCTTCCCAGATCTCCAGCTTCCATCCCACATCCAGTATTCCTTCCTTCACTAATGTACCAACCTCTTACCTGGTGACACAAGGCAAAAACTTAGGCAACACCCTAGACTCCTTGAGCTCTGTTGAAATCTTTATCGACTGGTCACCAAATCCTTAGCTCTTACAGGTCCATCCCCTTTTCTCTATTCCCAATGCCATTCTGTTGAAGCTTTCATAACTTTTGGGATGGTTTATTGCTCATTTGCCTAACTGGTCTGTTTGTCTCTAGTTTTAATGATCTCTAATCAATTTCAACTCTGCAGCCAGAGAAGTCTCAAATCTCTTCATTGATCGCTACCTCTCATGCATTGGGCTACCTGTGAGGCTTCAGAGACAATGAGAAATTTGTTATGCTAACAAAGAAACCATAGCTCAATGTGGCTATGAGGATAATGGTATCAGATTTAACAAATGAAAATACTGGACATCCAGTTAAATTTGAATTTCAGATAAAC